AAAAGTGCCCCGGGCGAAAAACCCTCTCAACCCCACCGATCGAGCGAGGACTTTAAAGTGACGCGAGGCAGGGAGGGGAAGAGGAGCCACCCTTTCTCTCGTATCGCCACCCCTTTGCCGTTGCCTGTCGCGCACAAGTGTCTGAAAAGGGGCATTTAAATCGCACTTCCTCAAACAGTGGCGGACACTTGGCGCGTGTGAAAGGCGAGAAAGAAAAAAAAAAAGGCCAACGATTCTCGCCTCGAGAGATGCCTCGAGTGGTGACTGCTTGGTTGGGAGAAGGCTGCAATGACTCTGCGAAATGATCGAACGCGATCGTTTCGAGCGGGATGAATAACGCGGAAAAATTGCTTTCCCAAAGAAAAGACGAAAAATTGGGAAAAATTGGAAGAAAATTTGGGAGAAAAGTTTTTCGCGATCTGGACGGATGGATTCCACGAAGAGGGGGTCGCGAGAAACGAAAGCAAGGGCAAAGCACGGAAGGGGAAGAGAGGACTATGGTGGATTCTCGTACTACCGTTAGTAGCGAGCGTTCACGTGCACGAGGTGTCGGTTGGTGGTGGAAGGCGTTCGACGCCGTGGCCACGACACTGGCCTCTTGGAAGCGGTGCTAGGTTCACGGAACGTGCTCGACTTCCGTCAAAAGAAACAGCTGCATGCCGTACGCGCCACTATGCAACGACCGATAGCGAGGGGAGGGGGACGTGAAACGGGCGGCTGAGTCGGGCATCGATGTCGTAAATCTTCCTTTTCTTCGAGCATGAGGTCGCGTCCCCTCGTTTGTACGTCATAAACCCGTTTACAGCCGTTCTAATCAATGGGAATTTATAATAACCCCTCGTTTGAAGAAAAGAAACTTCGCCATGGCACGGGTAGGAATTTCTTTCTCGCTGCGAGTTTAATTGCACTCTTCGAATCGACGATCTCTTTCTTCTCCATGGTCCCGATTTTAAATCTTGGTGAAAAAAATTATTATACGTTTCATTTTAGAGGATAACGTTTAGGATCGTGCGACGATTCGTGAAAGTAAAGGAGCATTGTTCTTTCCAACAACTGTTATTCGTTTTCCTTCATTGGAAAGAGAGAGAGAGAGAAAGAGAGAGAGAGAGGGAGGCGCGTGCTGGAATTGGTCCAAGAGACGGAATCTAGTTCTCGCGAAGAAACGGTACATGCGTGTAATGCGTGTAACGCGCGTATTCGTTCCGTGAGAAACAACGCGTCGACTCGTTTTATTATCCATGTACGAACGATAACGATGGTGAACGTATATAAATCTCGTGCATTCGCGTCGAGATCGATACGCAATAATTTTATAATAATCCAAAGTCAAGAAGATTTCGTCGTCTCGTCGAACATTGCGTTGAACACGTCGATGGGAAAAGTGAAGCGTTCGAAAAAAAAAAAAAAAAAAAAAACGTCGATGCGAGGAAAACGCACACGTTTCATACACGTCGAATCGATTGAACGCCGCCAGAAGAAACGGGCGATAAATTGTCGAGATTCGTCGTTTTTCGAACAGCTGTATATACACACCACCAATCGATATATAAGTTGTCGAACGCGAAAAGTAATTTTTATCCCTCTTACTTACATTCTACTCGAGCGACTGTTAGCTTAACTCGAGGAGTTAATAAATCTTGTTCTCGATACCCCTTGCCAATTTTCAACGGGTTGTTACGACGATACATCTTCAACGGGTGTCTGCATTATGCGTTCAATATCCAGAACAGACGTCATTTGTCAGGATCGACGCGAAACAGTGGGTCAAGCATCGAATCGACACGCTAGATACCGTCATATATCATTTGCATCATTCGTTGCTACCTACTCTATCATTCACGATTCACGCACGTGTATATTTGCCCGATTCGAGTATACAATACGCCTCCCGACAATTTCTATATATATTTCCATACATATATATAGGGATTAATTAAAGTCCTTATTGTCCTTGCTTCCCGTTAATTTCGTTGTTTCGTTCCCCTTCTTTCATCCGCGTTTCCTCGATTGTCACATAATCCACACCACCATTGTTCCATCACTCCCAAAGATTTTTTCCCTTTGCTGCTACCTCCACCAAGCTCGAACGACACGACACGCACGAAAATTTTACGCGACCTGTCGTTTCCCTTAAAAAAAAAAAAAAAAGAGAAATAACGAATGCTCTCGATCGAGTTTTTCCATCGAAATCGATTTAATCCCCCCGATGAAAGATCCCACGCGTATACACACGCGTATGCATACGCCATATTTCATCCATCGATTCAATCTGTCCACGGAGCGAATTGATTCCGATATTATCGTCCCATTAATTACTCGATCGTGACAGAATATCGCCGTTCGAATTCCCCTCGATTATTTCCAACGGAACGTAGAGCCCGCCCAATGAGGCAATTTTCACACGGTTGTTAAGCGTTTGCTAATGAAATCATACTAGGTAGTTAGAGTTATCGTTTTTGGCCAAAATCAGGAGGGACGAGAATCGTGCTTCTCCGCCCGGAGGATCCGCGGCAACGCGATCTATGACGCGCGAAATAGTAACCGTGAAATAGCCCCGTGAATGTCGAAAATGTTCGCTGGATATGTCCGGTTGTCGAAACCGGCAATTACATCGAGGTTTAACATTTACGGGACCGTTAGTCGCTTGTACGACGTCGCCACCAACGAGCCCGATAATTAATTTAGCGCCGCTCCATCTCTCTCTCCTTCTCTCTATCGAGATTCATATTGGATATGGACATATTGGATCGTTGTCATAACTCGCGTTCGATCTGGAAAAATTATACGACTCCCTCCATCGATGAACCGTACAGAATTTCTATGATACCGGTTCAATATTGATCATTAAGATTTTTAACAAAAAAGTGCCTCTTGCGATTCATCGATTTTTTGGAGAGAGAGAAAAAAAAAAAAAGAAAAAAAGAACGTAGAGTAGAGAGATACGAAAACGGACGCGTTTCATTAATCCGATCAGCTGACGCGCGCAAAGTCAAACAATGTCGCGATATTTAATCGCGAATCGAAACGAGGACGACAAATGGGGCGGATAGCGGAGCTGTGTAAAAATAAATATAGAAACAGCGATAAATATGCGAGAACACGCGCCTCCCTCGGAATAGCAATTCGCGAGAGCTTGTTTGCCGCGATGATTGTTGCAATTTCGCACTGGCGACTCGATAATTCACACGCGTCATCCGCGTGTCCCGATTTGTAATCGATCCGATCGATTTCGGAACAGCTCATCCTCCCCGTTTTTCGTTCAATTTCCATCCACCATTATTAATCCTCCGTATAAAAGCGAAATAATTACGATCAACGTTTACTCTCGAACGAGAGTAATTCCTCTTTCGAATTAAAAAAAAAAAAAAAAAGAAAAAAGAAAAAAAAACGTTTATTTTATCACGCTTTTTGATTTCAAGAAACCCGGTCCCCTCTCCCCGTTTCTAGGCTTCGCGAACCGTGACTACAGAACGAGGTAGGCGTAGCAGCAACAATTGCTTTCTTTTCAAGCGAAAGGATAAAAATGGTTAACCTTTAGGTGTCAAGTTATGCCGAGACCGGGTATTTTGCATGCTTTATCGGCAGGGAACGAGACTGCCGAGGTATTGCTAGACCCGTGCTAACTTCCAAGGTGACGGGCGACTATGAAACTCTCGTGGCACGTGTCGTTCTTTGGTCCACTTTCCAACTTGAATCGCGCATTAGAATGTCTACGTTAGACTTCGGAGCGAGATCGTGCGAACGAAAAAAGAACAATTTCGATTAATCGATTCCGCGTTCGTAGACGATTCGCATTAATTTCTTCCACTTTACGCCAGAGTGGCACACCGGCGGATCTGGGTGACACTCATCCACCAAGTATATTGAACCTGAATGTCCTCCTTCCATGCAACTCGGTATACTTTTCACCCGATCTCTCCAAGGTCGGGCAAACGAGTATTACTACGCTTTCATCGATTCATCGCTCTAACTGTACACGTTTTATTGTTTCGACGATAGAACCTATTAACCGATAAGAGGAGCTCGTATGGTTGTGTAGGTTATCTCGCTTCTTGGCTCGGTTTCCGATTCAATTTTAATATCGCTACCCATAATACCAATCGGGATACAATTATCATCGTTGTTTAATAAATAAAATAACCAAGAGCACGCGCCGTTTCTTAATTATCGATTATTAAAGATTATTATTATAGTTAAAATCGTATCGTGAAATTTCTTCCCGGTTTTTCTACCTTCTTCTCACGGTTCCCCGCTTTTCTCCGGCTCTCCCTGTCATGTATTAACCCGGTACCCTACTTCCTGGCGCCAACAGCCTCGAGCCTTTCGAAAATACTTTGCGTACCTACTCGCCGTTTCCTACGGCATGTCAGGCTCGCGAGAAGCCCTATTCACGCTCACAAAGGTCCGAGGAACTCGACGACGTGAGGCAAATGCCCAAGTGGAAGAGAACGAGGAGAAACGTTCGTTTCTGCTACCTGGAAGCGCAGCTATATCAACCGAAAAACTTCCATCTTCGCCTTCTCGATCCTACTCCTGTCTATCTTTTAAATTTGTAAACGAGTTTTTGATTTTCGATTGAAAAGCAAAAATCTACGATATTTCCTCTCCCCCCCCCCCGCCTCTCCTTTTTTCGAATGAAACTACAAGCGTTTATCGAGTTCAACTTCGAGAGATAAGGGTTGAGAGCAGTTAGAAGTTACAAGAGCAGGGTGACGCGAGTACCGTTGGGATATCAACGCGAGGTCAAGACTCGAGTATGCGCATCCCGGGTGAATGTTTGAAATCCATTTTCTCAGAAATAGAGACGAAAGGAAGGAAATAGTAGTTTCCCTTTCGTACGAAACTTTTTCTCTTATTTGAGAAACAACTAGATATGCTAATTTGGTTTATCAATTTATGCATTTAGATTACGCGAATGGAGGAACATTTGCATTTACATTTAAATAATAATAAAATGAAGACGAGTAAGTGAGAGATAAAAAAAAAGCAGAAACACTTACCACGTCGGCAATGTTGCCGGAATCGTCCCTCATACCATCTCTGGGGGTACGGCCTGAAAAAGAAGAAAAGAGAAATCGGTTAAAAATAAAAGCGAAATATTTGCGTATGCTCGCGGCAAGTGATCCTATTTTCGAATAATTCGCGTCGTAAACGCTCATAAAGATGTACGCGAGTCTAGTCGTATTTGCAAGGATTCAGGCCAATCGTTACACTCGAGTGGACGAGCGCGATAGACGGAAGTGGCGCGAGTGCGTAAACTGGAATCCACGAGCCGATCCAGCCTCTATCACTCGGTTTTTCCCCCGATTTCTCGAGGAATCTGGCTCGTTGATCCAGACGAGCCAGAACGTTTCCTCGCCCATAAACGCCTCCTTTTTTAATCTCCATTAGTCGTTTAACGGTAATTAACGTAACCGAGGCGAGAAATTGTTCTCGATCGAAAGAGAGCCAACCAACGTCTACCCGATATATTTTTCTCCGATGAATTATTCAAAGAGGCTGAGCTGTCTAGTAAAAGTTTCGCAACGGAGAACGTTGCGTAATAAATGGCCGCGAGAACTCGTGTGAATGAATCTCATCACGGGAGCAACGCGCTATCCAGGAAACATATATATCTCTTCCGATCCCTCTTTGTTCTTTCTATATGTATATATATATATATATATTTTATAAACGTAGCATAGAATCGTAGCGTAGCATAAACGTTCGTAAACGTTTAATTAACGCATCCAAGATTACAATTACGAGCGGTGGTGGTGTTAAAATACGGATTGGAGTTTATCCTGGACAAAGGAGAGTGGTATGGGTCGTTAATTAATAGAAAATTGAATTGACGCGGGGGAAATTAGTTGGAGGCATGCGCGACGACCGATAAAGCGGCATAAAGCTCATGAAGATTTCATTAACCGCAACAAGATCGTCGGCCGAGGCGACCGATACCATCGTGATACCGATGCGACGGGAAATCAACTTTTCGCGCAATTTTATCGAAATAATCAACGTCTTCTTCAACGTCTCGTTTGGAGAGAAAAGTAAGACGGTCGGAAACTTTTATCCCCCGAAATGAAATTTAACCGAACGCAATTAGCTTTCTAGGTAACCGTGCGGCACGAGAAATGGCGTAAGTGGCGCGAAAGGATTCCCGGGGAAACTTTAACTTCGACTTCGTTCCGTAGAGATCTCTCTCTCTTCTAAGAGATCTGCGCGTGATTCCGCTACGAATGGCCTAATCACGCTGCCTTTTGCTAATAACACGTTCCCCAGAAAGGCGAATCAAACGATTGGAATAGCGATGCTTACCTAAGATTTAAACGTGAGTTCGATGACCTATAAAATCTTTCAAGTACGATAAAAAAAGGATATCGTAAAAGTTGTTGCAATTTGTCGACACTTGGAATCACGATGAAAACTGCGAATCTCGAATCATCTCGTTACGCGTTTATATAATCGCGGGAGAAGTCACTGAACTGTTCATAAAGCAAAGAAGAGAAGAAAAATACAAATATTTTTTTTTTTCTGTTCAAGCAAGAAACGTTTCATTGAGATTCGTGAATCGAAAACTGGCCTCAGTCGACCAAGAAATATAATTATCCGGTATTCTTTCCTGCATTTTTTTTTTTTCAATTCGGTCGACGCTCTTTCTTTCGAGATTGAAATCGTTGTAATTTCGTGGCCCATTCCCTTCTCCTAACATTCTTGCGGTATTTCAGACGGAAAAGTGTTATTACTCGTCGCCGAAACGTATGCAGGAGTTGTCAGGCAAAGTATACGACGGTTAAATAAATGTCGCCTGCCGTGGCAATGCCATGAAATTAGTAGCTTCTATAATTTTCAGTTGCGAAACGCGAGCACTTACACGCGAATAAAATAATTACTCGCTATAAGAAACTGAAAGGAAAAATATTCACATGTACGAAATGTATATTACGTTGTTTAAATCACTTTTGAAAAAAATATGCTTCGAAAATATGTTCCGAAAAATACGAATGACCTTGAAATTCTCTTGGCACGATCGTCCACCAAACCGTCTTTGTACAGCATTCCGATAATTTTCCGCGCAATTTTCAGCTTCGTCATGCTCGATTTAACTGATTTTTTCTTTTCATTGATTCCCAGAATAGTCGACATTTCTGAACGACGTAAACACGACATCGTGGGATGCGCACAATAGAGAAAACCGATGTTACGAATAATATACACTGTCGATGCACGACAATTCGAAAATATTAGCTCGCATCGTTGTCGAAGAATCGATCGATATCAATGGATGTTGCGAAAAAACATCCTTTGTCTCGCATCGCGAAATGCCCGCCAAGTTACAGAAATCCAATGCTTATTGTCTACTGAATTTGAATCGATGACGTTCTTTTGAATTACGCATTCTTTGAAACAGAAATAAGCCTATTTTTAAAATATATCCCAACTTAATGATGTCACCGACACCGGTAAAGATTTTAATCGAAATTTTGTCGAAGTCTCGAGAGCAAAAGGCACGCGGGAAAGAAGGAGGTAGAAAGAAACGAGTTAAAGAATATAAAAAGGACCAACTGTACAGCGCATGCGCGCGTCCCACGAGAGAGCCAAGATCGAGTGTTTTAAAAACTCGCGAGAGGCGACGAGTGGGATTTCAAGGTTAGACTGAGCGAAAGATCTGAGGTTAAACAGCTAGCAAACCGACTCTTTTTTTCTTTATGCTGAGAGAAAATTAAGCATTAATCATGTAAAAAATGTATATATCGCTAGTAAGATCTCTACTCACTTACTCATTAATTATTCTTAAAGGATGGATTCTAATGATTATTGACACTCTCTTCTATCAAGCTTATAAAGCACAACCTCTTGCAACGAATGCATTCAAAAACACATTTCTAACCATAACCAATAACAAATTAATTTTTTACAAATAATGTATGTATCTCGTTCTAGAATTTGAATGAGTACTACAGTTAAAATAACATTTATAGTTGCTGTAGTCGCGACCAATCGTTGTCGAATAACGTAGCTTATCGAATGAATACTTATCGATAAGCGGATCCAAAAACAAACGATAAAGAAAAAAAATAGATTGTCGTATTAGTTAACGAAAACGAATGCTCGTTGATTCAACGTGCCAAAGATAAGAACTATTATCGATGTATATATATATATATATATATACATACATACATATACATATATATCGGACCAATGACCCATGATATCGATACATGCCCTTACCTTTTTTATAAACAGGTAAAATTTTAGCGATTCTCGAATTGCACGTTCTCGAGTAATCCAGTTCTTGAGAAATGTGAACGACTCTTCTTCGAACGGTATCCTCTTGCAACGATATTTTGTCTTGTCGTGTATTTTGCACTTAATCGCGATGTTGCAGTTTATCGCTTATTCATTTATACCTACTCTTCTCTTTATCTTTCTTTCTCTTCTGTATAACCCTAACCTTACCCCGCACTAGCACTACGATACACTGTAGCACAACCGACACTCCGGCCGATGAACGAAGCACGAATGGAGAACAGAAACTGCACTTCTCTAAAGAGACCAGAAAATCGCCGCGACGGTTATATCGTCCTTTTCTTTTCCCCCTCCTTTCAAACAGAAGGTCGAGAAGAAACTATTCTCGAAATTCAGCCACTTTCCAGTGCTCCCGTTCGTATCCAAACTTTATCTTTGGCAAGGAATCTACGCGCCACACGCATATGTCACTCAGGAGAATCGCTCCGAAAAAAGGAATTGCACGCGTATTTTGCTTTCCCCTTTCTCTTCTTTCCTTTCTTGCATTTATTTTCTTTTCTTTTTTCGTACTCGTGTACTCTATCTGTCAACAATGATAGTTATTGCTCCGTAATGTTGCCGAGTCGTTAGGATATCGTGTTTAAATTTTCCGCTATTTCGACAAACGTGCCGCGAGGAATTCTGGAGAGCCGGTATCGTAGCCCCTTATTCCTTTCTTGCTCGAATCTCGTACGTGCCGTTCGCGGTTTCTGTTCGTTGCAACTGCTCGTGGTAAAAAGCAACGAAGAACCCGTAAATAATTAATCACAACGAGAAGAAAACTATTGTATCGCGAACAATCGAAGAAACTCGCAGTCGGAAATGCTTCGTATCGACATGGATCACGATATCGATTTACTCATGGTTTCGCGACATCACTGCTGCCGGATCTCTCTCAGGTTATAACGGACAGAAGCAGGACGACTTTTTAAAAATGCCACGCACCGACCAATCACGAACACGAGCGCACGGAACGCAGACGGTACAAGAAGACAGAAGAAGAGAGAAAGAAGTGGAGCTATATACACGCGCGCTTGCCCGCTTGCTCGTACACACTACGTACAGGTATATACACAAGCACTGGAGGAGGGGATCTTGCGCGCGCGCACATATACGGACGAGTGGCGACGCGATCTTACGGATTGTCGTGTCGATCCTTCCTTGCTACTTTCCAGAGATCGCACCCTCGACGATCGAAGATCGACACAATTTTCTACACACCACTAAACGAATACGAACACTGTTGTACGGTAAAATACACTGGAGGAGGTCTTATGGTCGCAAGTTTTCACGAAATGTTCGGCGTGAGTTGCGAAGCCAACCGTCCGTGCAGCAAAGGTAAGTTAAACTGAGCAGCAGCGCGCCTACGGTAAACGAGATTAAAGCTCCGTACCGACAGAACCACGATATCGGCCAATCAGCGTGCCACTTTATGCGGCTCGACCAATCACCGTTCTCTCTCACCTGGCGAACGGTTAGTCCAGGTGCAGCCGCTAAGGCGCCATTGCCTGGCGTTGGCACGTTACCTGCTCCACTCCTGGAGGGGAGTCGTGGACAAAAGATGGAGAAGGGGAACGTGACAAAGAAAGCTTAACTTTCCAACTAGTAAACGAAAGAGAAAAAAGAAGGTACGGAGGGGAAAGATAGAAGAGAGAGGGAAGAAAGAAAGAGAGACGTGAATTGTAGTAAGCCTACGGTCATAAGCATAACTTTGAACGTTCGTTTTCACGAATTTTCGCGATCAACTTTCGCGAGATTGTATCACGATTGTGCCTTAATCCAGAACGGGCACCATATGTCCCGTAGCTTGATCGAATAGAGAAGATAATAATAAAGGTTTCAGAGACTAGCATCAGTTTCTCAATCGCAACGACGAGCGTAACAGCGGCTGCATCGTGCCTCCGGAGACACGTTACGCGAGGAACTTCACCGGTATGATAGAGACAGAGAGTGGTGGGGGAGATGGCTGTTATCTAAATTACTCTATTTTCTCGAGGGACGCTTGCGATGGATTTTTTTTCGATCGTCTGGAACGTCAGTATCGAATCAAGGTGGGTGTTCTGCCTGTTCCACAGACACGGCCCCTTTTTTTTCCTCTTTTCCTTTTTTTTCTCCCCTCCTTCCTACTATCCTCCTGTTTCTCTCCCTTATTCTCCGCGATGCATCTCCTTTCTCCGCTAAAGAGAAATAAATGCCTGATTCAGGATAAATTATTGTATGAAATATAAATCATATTTAATTTCGAGATACGCATCTTTCCATTAGGATAACGACACGTTTGATACCTAGAACATTTAAATAGAAATGATCGAGCCAGAAAAGACCAAAATCTTAGAAAAGACCAAATTGAACGTGGCCCCAAGTTAAATATACTTTCTACATTTATTACCTTTCTTAACCATCACATCCTACATGCTTTAAGTATATTGCACTATTGTCCTTGCATGATTCACCATAAATACTTATTCGCTACGCTTAGGTTAAGCCGGGATATTAAAACTGTTTTTACAATGAGAAATATCCCTCATCGCAAGGGACAAGGAATATTTTTATAACGGTAAAAGTAATGGTCAACAATTGACGAGTGAATTGTAAAAAGGAAAGTGAAAGTGGAAGATGTTTTTGCCGGTGGAATGCGATTTTCATACGGAAAACAAGCAACAAATTTTTTCTTTTTTATTTGAACAACCGACAAACGGAGTGTTATTATTTTCCGAGACAGAGTGCAAATCGATCGTGCGAAGCTAAGATTGATACGTTAATACGGCCAAGGAAAGACAAAGTGCTAAAGGCGAATAATAACAGGTGGGAGCAATATGGTAGCGTCACTGAATGGAGGGCGTACTCTCTCCTCATACTCGTTCGTCGTAGTATTTTGTTCATTCACTCGTTCCTATTTTATCGTAACATCGTTTTCGTTCACGCCAACCCGCCACCACGTGGATTAGGGACACTGAAGATTTGTGAGAACGAGAGATACTCGATATCTGTCTGCTGGCTGGTTGCTTTCCCTTTTCGTTCCTCCGTATCACCTTCGAGCAGACCTCACGTATACAGTTTCGTATGCAATACATATCGTGATACGTTTCAGAGACGGAGATCTACACGCTTGCCGAATTAGAGCGTGTAATCAAATATCCATAGAAGCCCGAACTAGGGTTTCCGCTTACTTCGATCCATACCGTGCTCGTTTCTTTTAATCTCGTATTCTTAAAGAGCTTGGCTTGAAATAGAAAAGCAAAACAATCGCGCAAACGAAATCGATTACTTGTTGCACGTTTCGCGCGCTAAACTTTCTGCCGACTGAAACTTGAACATTTTTCGAAGCGATCGCCGTTGCCCCGATTTACCTTGAAACGATCGCGACCAACATGGCCACCCGTACAATTATTTTACGCTCGCGAACGACGAGATATCGAGTCATCCTTGACACGAATTCTATCGTTCAATGATTTTTATTTCAATTTTCATTGCGCACGCGCTTTCCAATGACCAACGGATGATGGCCGATGTGCAACGAGGGACAACGAGAAGAGAAACAACGGTCGCCGGTAATCGTCCGGAAACCGTTAAATTATATTTAAAGGATGAATCGTACCGTCGGTTTGCCTATCTAAACTAATGCCTCTTCTAAGAAGTGCATTTGCCTTTTTACGATCGTTCGCAAATTCCCGAATTACCTGCCTTCCTTTATCGCCTCTAATGCACGAAAGTATCGAGCACGAGCAGGTATAATGTTAACGGCGCGTCAACCATTACTTTCAATGACCCGTTACATTGTGTTCGTTTCTCGTCTACCGTGTCACTGAATAATGCACCCATACGCCAGATATCTCGCCGTTCTTGCAAATTGTTCCCAAGGTTCGACATAAAAAGACGACATTTTCCTCGGGTGATAACGGAGTGATTTCTCGTCTCTTTTTCTCGATGGAGAAAACCGCGAAGCCGTATAAAACGCGCATACGCTCCGCTCGCCTTCTATGAAAGCAGCAATTGTAACCTTACACGGCGCTCCCCGATAAATTAATCGATTTTTCGTAAGAATTTGACGATCGACGAGACGCAAAACGATCAACGATGCAAATTTAAATGACGATTCGACGAAGAGCGAGCATCACTAATAAATTGTAATTTCGACGAGAAACACTCTGATAAATGTGTCCGTCGGTCGGAAAGGGTGTTTCGTCGTAAGAACCGACGAGAGACGTCTCACTAATAATATCGAGCATGTTTGTTAAGAAAGCAATTACAGATTCACGGAGTGTTTATTATTTTGTAACGCGAAGAAAACACGGAGGCGAGGAGGCGAGGGAGAAGGGAGACGGAGAGAGAAAGAGGAAACGGATGGTCCGACTAAGAAACAAAGAGGGAAAAGAGGATTGGCCGGTCGTATTCAACGGGCGCTGCTATTCTACGAGCTGGTTTGCATAAAATGCATTGTAATCCCTGTGCACAATGCAGAAAGCTCAAGTTTTACCTGGACGGTGTAATTAATGCTAGCCTCTCCGGACAGCTATATGGTTCATGCGGACAGAGCTCAATGATAATTTACGAAATGGAATCTCTCGCATCCTCGTACGTAGCCGCAAAAAGACAGGTCGCTTCCTTTTGTGCCCGCCTGTTACCGCACAGTCAACTCTATTCTCTCGACAGACACCGTATCATCGTATCGTATCGTGCCAAATTGCAAATTTGAATATCTCGATTTTGAATATCTCCGAATTTGAATATATTTAAAACTGGAACGAAGTCTCGTCGATGCACAACAAGGTAACGTTACGTTATTCGTTCATATGGGATGAGAGGAGAGACGCGCAAACGTATGTATCGAACGATCCACGAATAGTGGTTAAACAATGTGTCTGTAACGATGGGCGCGGTCTAAATAATAGCGTAACACGTACGCACGCAGGAATGAGCGACACGTAATTATTACAACAATCGCATGGAAGCCGATACCGCTCTCCTAAGACTATCGGCGCCGAGTGTACGCCTACTACTTTATTCCCCCCTCCCTCCTGTCTTTTACTATTTATCCTGATAAATATAGATAGATCGAGCTATTCGAGTCAACGACTCCGATCAACCAAGATATCGATGCTTTCAAACTCGTCTCCCGTAGATCTAATCTAACTGAGTGATCCCATCCCGGTTTCCGATACATATTTTAACTCTAAATCATTCATTCACCAACTTTGCTTCTCGGATTGGAACGTCTATCCAATTTCCTCTTCCTTATAAACGAATCCTTCCTTTCCTTCCTTTAATTCATTATTCCTTAATTTTATATATATATATATTTCCTCGGATTTTTCCTTTCAACCGCATCGTTCGAATTTTCGAGTACTTTCGTTCCCTTTGTCAAAACGCAATGTTTACCGTAGTGGCCTTTCGAAAACAAGATCGTATCATCGTAATAGGAACGTCATGATTATTTTGCACATGTTAGTGACGTATCACGAAAGTTACCGGCCAAACTTTCCCCGATGCACGCTGCCTCGGTTATCCTCTACGCGCGCATGGATCATCCGCATAGATTCCATTATCCACCGGGACTAATTTCGCAAAGTGCACGTCCCACAACCGCGCGAATTTCGAGATGGATCGTTCGTACGTACGTGGCCATTGTTCCTATCCTGTTTGTAAACCGCTTTTCATTATTGTTCATCGAACACGCGTAAACACGAGAGGTAAAATACGCGAGGATACGATACTGAAAGATACTCCACAATTTTCATGCGATTCGAATGATTCGATATCGCGTGTAACGCAGTCGTTGCGTTGGAAATCCTCCTCCGAACAGTGACACAGAGAGAGAGGTGAACTTCGACGAATAGTCGAATCGAAAATCCACCGGTTAGATACTATTTTGCACAATTATCGTTGTTGTCATCATTGTTGTTCGAGATTTAAAGCGTTTCTTTTTTTTCTTTCTTTCTTTCTTTCCGTCGCGTCGTATCTCTTTAATTCAGGCTCGATCGTGATAAAAGCGAGAATATTTAACTTTTAATTGGATATTCGTATCGAAGCTTCACAGATGTCTCCTTAACGATACAACGGTGAATTGGCGAAACCGGAGTTTGAACGAACGAACGAGACAGAGATGGAAGAGACTGCGGTTTTTCCCGGTGCGTCGTATCATCCGCGTATTTTCCTCGTTCCCCGGCAAACATTCTGTTTATCGTGTAACGTTGAAACGTTGTTTACGCTCGAAACGTTATTGCAAGATGCAATTAAAACAAGAACAAGCTTTTATTACCGGATAGGTAAGAACGGAGGGATGGATATCTCTCACTTTCGTGTAGAGAA